GTGCTTTCCGTGCTCGGTGTCCAGTCGTCGGGCAAGTCGACGCTGCTCAACGGTATGTTTGGCGTCCGCTTGAAGACGAGCGTCGCGCGGTGCACGCGCGGCGTCAACCTCCAGCTGCTTGCATGCGCCGACGACGTGTGCGACCGGTTTGACTATATCTTGCTACTGGACACGGAAGGCATCCAGTCGCCCGAGTATGCGGGCGTCGACGGGACAACGTGGCGCGACAACCGCATGGCGTCGATGGCGATTTTGCCAGCGGACGCGACCATTGTGTTGACGAAAGGCGAGGCGACCAAGACGATGAACGACATGCTCCCGGTCGTGCTCTCGGTGCTGGCCAATTCGGCGCTCGCGGCGGCCTCCGGGGGCCGCCTCGCCACGAAGCTCTACTTTGCGTTCAACCAAGTCGACGTGACGATGACCAGTAGCATGCACTCGAGCCTCGACGCGCTTGTCGACAGTCTGCGCGCGAGTGCCAAGCAGGTGGCAGTCGTGCGGCAGTCGTCGGCGACGGCGTCGTTTCTCGACGGCTTTTCGGCCGACACGGACGTGGTGTTTTTGGGTCGCAACAGCGGCACGAGCGACCCGCCGGGTGACACGCCGATTGCCGACTATGGCGAGCGGCTCGTGCGACTGCGCGACCACATTTTCGCCCACGCGGCGCCGGCCCGTACGTTTGGCGCGCTCAACGAGACACTGCGGCTTGTCTGGACGTGCCTTGAGAGCGCGAATTTCGAGCTGGACTTTGCCTCGGCCCACGAGCGTATCGTGTACGACCGCCTCGGGCGCCGCATGACGCGGCACACACAAGCCCTTGCGAGCATCTACACGACGACGTTTGAGACGGTGCTCCAGCGCATGAGTGCTGACAATGCGACAACGCCGCAAAAGAGCCACCGTTACGAGGCACTGCTCGAGCAGTCGGTGGCGAGCGACCTACGTGGGCTGGACCGTGCCGTGGCCAAAACGTTGGCGGACGAGGCATTTGCCAAGTGGGCCACGGCCATGACGCAATCGTGGGCCGACCAGAAGCGCCGTCAGGCAGCGCACTCGGCGCGTCTGGTCATTGCGACGGCCGAGCAGCTTTTTCAATACCAAGCCTACGCGAAAGCGTACAAGGCGGAGCTGCAAGACGCGCTCGTGGCGCATTTGGCGACCGAAGGGGCCGAGGCCACGCTGGCATCCTTTGATGCGATCTTTGAGGCAGTCGTGCGCCGCGCCGCCGCCACGCACCCGCCGCTGGCCCCCGACGTCCCACGCCTCGTCTATGCGGCGCTGCACACCAATCACGTGTTGACGCCGGACGAACTCGCCATGGTCGATGTACCCGACAACGGGGCCACGGACAAGACGGGGTGGCGCCGGTACATTCGGTGGTTTCCAGCCAAGCTTAAGCAGCGAAAAGCCCAGATGATGGATGCCGTGCGCGATTGCGTGTTGCGCTGCGTCGCGGACGCGGATCGGTACGGCGACGAGGTCGTTCTCAACTGCGTGTTGGAAGGCAAGGCGATGCTGCACTTGCTGCAGTTGCCGCCTGACGACCGACTTGCGGGCTTGCGCATGCTCGTGCCGTTGCTGACGACGCAGCTCCAAGACCGGCAAGCGCGCTGGGATGCTCTCAACTGCGTCGCGGCCAAGTTTGGTGCGTGCAAGCAAGAGATGCGCCAGTTTGCAACCAACTTGTGTCGCGGCCAGAGAGCTGCGAGTCTCTTGATCTCGTCGCTCGACGAGTGGTTGGTGATGCGCGCAAGTTCACAAGTGCTATCTCGCCGTCGCTGCCAAGCTCGCCGGCGCCATCAAGGAAGGTATTCTGGCCGCTGCCGCCTCGGCGGAAAACGCTGTCGAGTCGCGTAGTACAGCTTTTCTCCACGAGTTGCGCCTCGCACTGCAACGCCGTCTCAAGTGCAGCGGCACTAGTGTCCTTGTGACGAGTCTTCCATCCGGGAAGGGAAGCGTCTTTGACTGTGACGACCACGGTCCGAGCCTCTTTTCAGTCCACAATGAAGGGCCGCTCAACGTTCCTCAGAGCCTCCTTGCGCGTCTTGACGAGTTGAGTTCTACCCTTGGTCCCTCGGCGGCCTGGAGCTCGACGATGGCGACGCGGACCCTCGACGTCATCCGCAACGAGGCGTATGGTGCGGTCGACGGCATTGTGCCGCGCTGTGGCCAGCCGTGTCCGTGGTGCAAGTGCCCGTGTACGAAGGCTTTGGGCCACGCATCGACGGGCCGTGCAGACGATCTTCTGCACGACACGCCGCACCAGCCCGATGGCCTCGTCGGAGTACGCTACGTTGGCTCGAAACGTATCTCGGCGGGGAGCTGTGCGGAAGCAGTCGTTCGAGATGGTGTGATGCGGCACCGTGATGGGAGTTTGCACCGTTTTCAGGACTTTGAGACCGTCTTTCCGGGGTGGGCGCTGCCGCGCGTGACACAGCGCTTGCCGTTGCGCGAGTACATTTTCGCGCACTGCCACGACGAACTCGTCGCACGCTACAACGTGCGCAAGTGCAAGAAGATTCCCGCCTCGTACTTTGCCCACGACCTGCGCGACATTGAACGCACGCTGGAGCACTTGATGCAGTAGTGTGATCTGTCACGATGATAAGCACGTAACCGTCGTCGACACGAAACTGCCGTGATGGATATATGAAACTGCTTTGATTCATTTCAGTGTATCACCATTTAAAAGAAAGGACATGTAGGAATCGCGTAGACCATGCACGATAACAAGAAGCTCGACGGGAGACGCTCAGTAGTCGTCGCCGCGCGACAACACCTCCTTGCACGTTGGCCTACACGCACGATAAGAAGATGCGCATACCCATGGAATATTATGTACTTGAGAATGAACGTGTGCTCGTACTGCGCCGTGTAGCTGCCGCGAACATCCACAAGCGGCGGGTATTTCTATGGAAGAATCTACTATGAGTCGATGGATGAGAGATGAAGAAGCAACCGTCACGAGGCCGCAGTCGACGAGATGGTTGAGCGCGACCATGTACTTTTCCTGCTTGGCGCCCTTGGGGTTGACGTGCGTCGACCCGCCGTCTTCGCGCTCGAGCCAGCGCCGGCAGAACGCCAGCGTGCCGAACGTTCGCGTAATGTGCGAGAGAAGCTTCTTGGCCCGGGGCAGACGCAACGGCACGCGTGGGGCGTCGATCGTCTTGGCGTAGTGCGAGCACTCCATGTCTTCCACGACGTAGCCGCGGCCCGTCGAGCCAAAGGTTTTCAATCGCAAAGATCTCGCCTTCCTCCATCTTGGTGTTATCATCGTCCTTGACAACCGGCACCGATTTGCCGGCGTGGATCTGGTACGAGCCGATCGAGTGGCCGTTGAGGTTGCGAATGCACTTGACCGGGTACGTCTTGCCCTCGATCGTCACCTCGTACGACTCCATGACCTCTTGGATAACACCGCCGATCTCGCCGAGGCGCGCGTCAATCCCAGCGGCGCGAACGCCTGCGTTGGTCGCGGCCTTGGCAGCCGCAAGCAGCGGGTCAAACTGCGGGTCAAACGCAATCGTGAAGGCTGAGTCGATGATGCGGCCGTCGACTTGCGTGCCAAAGTCGATCTTCATGACGTCACCGTACTTGAGGACCGTGTTGTCGCCGCCATTGGGCGAATAGTGCGCTGCCACGTGGTTGAGCGAGCACCCCGTTGGGAATGCAATGCCGCGCTAAAGAGATGGTATACGTGATAAGCCAAGATACGTCATTCGTTACCTCGAGGCCGGCTTCTTGAACGAGCTCGCGGTTCTTGTTTTCAAGCGACTCGCAGAGATCAATGAGCCGGATACCGGGTGATATCATGCTCTGCGCAAACTTGCGCACTTGACGCTGCGTCTCGGCCGCATACCGTAGGCGATCGTAGAACGCCTCGTTTTCCTAGATAGTACAGGCCAGCCTAAGCGCCGTGGTGTCGGTACACATACAACGCACTCGCTCGAGTGCACGCAGCTCTTCGGACGTCGTGCGAAACGTGTTGAGGTCGCCCCCATGTGGCTGCTCCTCTCCGCGGGGAAAGGACCCGGGCGAAAAAAGAGTTGCGACCGGAATCGTTGGCGGTTCGGTTTGGCCGTACTGGACGTAGCTGTCGGTGAAGCCATCGATACCGCGGACTGGCGGCCGCTTGGAGCCAACCGTGCTGGGTGCTGCCTTCTTGGTCTTCTTTTTCTTTTTCTTGGGCTTGGACGAGGTCACTGCAACGTCTATGGGCGAGGATACCGCGACCGTTATCTCGACGGCCATCGGGCGGTCCGTGGCGATGGTCATACTGTTGGAGGTGGTGATCGGGGTGCTGTGAAAATGGAAATGAACAGAGCGTGTTACTTGAAGCCAATGGAGCGGATCCTGATCGATGAGCAATCAAAGCAACGGGCGTGGTGCCAACCTACGTCGGGTGGCGCGAATACGACCATCAGTCCTGCGCGGAGCCTACATTCTTCCGGGGGTAGGTTGTTTGGTTTAGGGGTAGGGGAGTTTCGGCAGCCATGTTGCGGGGCTGCCGAGTCCAAACCACAGAAATGGACGCCTGACACGCCACATTGATGCGGTGCCACCGACGCTATGAAATGCTCGAATGATTGTGCGGGATCTGCGAAGGAGCACACCATGCTGCATCGCATGATACGTCGTCTCTACCGTTGTCTCTACATATCCTGCGCACACAGGCAAGTAGCATCGCGAGTGGCGAGATGGAGTCTTTCAGCGGCGACGGACAAATGACGGCAGGATGGACGCATTGAGTCTGAGTAGCACCAATCATCCCAGCTGTGTGGTCGCTCGGGCGAGTAAAGAAGCAGGTTGCTAACTCTTCTACGCTACCTTTTTATACTCGTCGACGACAGGCGCATCAAACCAATGATATCGTAGCGCCTTGTATTAAACGACAAGGACTAGCGACGGTTCGAATGGAATGGTGGGTAATCTAAGGTATATATATACGTGGCCCTTTACGAGGCTTTCGCGACACTGTTGCGTGCCCAGCGTGACGTGTTCGCGTGCCAAGAGACTCGTTTTTCAGCGCCGTTTTGAACCAAAGCCGTCGTTTTTCAGCGCCGTTTTGAACCAAAGCCGTGGGACTCTTCGATTACACTCATCGTCTGCTTCTCATTCGTCTCACGACTGCTTCGCGACGGCCTCGCGACAACGTCGTGACAACCTCTCAACAACGTCACGACAGCGGTGGTCAACTGAACACCAATCCTGTGGACCAGTGGTGCAGAGAGCATATTTCTTAAGCGAATACCTGCGGACGCTCCCGCGTAAAAGGCTGCCTTTGCTCATCTCGCTGCAAACTGTGTCGGTGCGATGCTTACCACTTTTCGTTCCACGGACGCAAGTCGACTTCGTGCGTCCACGCCGACTTGTGCTGGTGGTGAATCTGCACATAAGTTTTGGCGATTTCTTCCGGGCGCAACAAGCCTACCAGAAGACAACATGACCACCAAAGACAACGCGTCCACAAAATTCTATACCGTCGACTTGCTGGAATTCCTTGGCCTTGGGAAAGTTTTCGTGGATCCACGGCGTGTCGATCGCACCGTCGATTACGATATGGGCGACGTGGATGCCTTTGGGCGAGAGCTCGCGCGCCATGCTCTGCGAGAGCGCACGCAGCGCAAACTTGGCGCTCGAAAACGCCGAAAAGTGCGCGCCGCCGCGGACACTGGCCGTCGCCCCTATGGCAAGACGTGGCTACAAGCATCCATACATAAAACATGCCGGCTACCTGTAAAGAGAATCGTGCCACGACCGCGCGGTAGCATGCGGGCCGCGGCCTCGCGGCCCATGAGAAAGCCCGAGAAGCACGCCATCTCCCACACCTTGCGGTAGACGCGCGACGTGGTCTCTGCGAGATGACGATGGGGGGTCCATGAACCAAGAGCGGAACGACGACATACCCGTGATCGGGAAGCGGACGTTGGCGCCGACGTTAAAGACCGCGACCTCGATCGGGCCCAGACGGTTCTCAATGTCTTCGACGAGCGCCTGGACGTTCTCTTCGACGCGGCAGTCGACACCAAAGCCCTCGGCGACGAGGCCCTCGGCGGTCATGGTCGCAGCGAGCTCCTTGGCCTTGTCGGCGTCGCGCCGGACGCAGCAAGCAGTGAAGCCGTCGCGGGCAAAGGCCTTGGCGATCTCAGCGCCCGTGCTGTCGCCAGCGCCGACGATGAGCACGCACTTGCGCGCGTCCGTGTGGAGGCAGCGGGCCACGTGCTGCAGTCGGTTGCGCCACATTCGATTGCGATCTTGGACTGGCGGTCCTGTTGACACAACGGTCGCCGCGATGCCATTGGCCAAAAAGGAGCCAATCCAATACGTTGCCATCCCAGTCCAACAACTCAAACAGCAACAAGACGTGGTTCCGCGCCTGTTCAAGGCCGAGAGCGCTCCATGGTGGCAGGAATATGCACACATCTTCATTTGTACCATATACGTTCGTTCTATTCATCGTAGCTGGTGCTCTCGTAAATGCTGCTTGGCCATGTCGCTGTGGCTGGATGACGACAAGAGCCATTCCATGTACCCAGCACCATCCACACCTCGGATCCGCTGCATCCCCGACTGCACTTTCTACGCATGGTGCAGCGTGAGGGCCACTTGGTTTTTCACCAATATCATACACACGTTATTCCATTCAAGGCCTTGATTCCATCGCCGCCAGCGAGTATCGAAGCGGCGACCTTGAAGCTGCGCTCGCGCCGCTGCTATTGCGACCGTCAACAGCGCCGCGTCCTGCTATTGCTTACCAATCTGATGTACTTACCAATCTGATGTATAATATCGTCGATACCTGGTTAAGCGAGACGAGCGTCTCGACCCATCCTGGCGCACCCCGAAACCCGACACCTTTGCGGTACCGACGACGTCTGGAGTGAAAATCAGCGTTTCGCGCCATATGATTGGCTGCTTATTGACCAATAAAATGCGGCACCTGCGAAATCCAGTGCAGCGTTGGGATCGCATGTTCATTGGCTCATTGCGAGACGGCCCTTTTGAGTGGTAAGTGGCAGGTGGCAGGCGAAGGTGGCCCATGGCAGCTGCTAGGACGACGAGTGCGAGCATGGCGGACGAAGAGAAGAAGGTGATTGTGGCCGACGACGTCGACGAGAACGACGAGGAAGAGGACGACGCCATGGACGGCGGCGCCGACGCGGGCGCGGCCAAGAAGAAGAAGAAGAAGAACAAGAAGAAGAAGAAGAAGGCCGCGGGCTCGGCCGGCGCGGGCACCAAGCTGCCGCCCTTCCGCGGCGTCGATGGCTACACCGACAGCTACATCAAGTACGGCCAGACCGAGCCGCCGACGATTCCTGTCGCCAAGCTCTTTGGCGCGGGCTCGTTCCCCAAGGGCGAGGAGCAGAACCACCCGGGCGACTTCAACACGTACCGCACGACGTCCGAAGAGAAGCGCGCGCTCGAACGCGTACGTCCATCCTCCATCCTATGCGTCGATCATAGTATACTCATGGCTGTACAGGAAGGCGAGGCGTTGTACGACCGCATGCGCTACGCGTCCGAGGTGCACCGTCAAGTGCGCAAGTTTGCGCAGAGCATCATCAAGCCCGGCATTCGCCTCATCGACATGTGCGAAGCGCTTGAAAACAAGAACCGCGAGCTCGTCGAAGAAGCCGGCTTTGCTGTACGTCTCCATCTTGCCACACACTGTACCTAACATTGCATTAGCGTGGCATTGGCTTCCCGACGGGGCTGCTCGCTCAACCACGTCGCGGCCCACTACACGCCCAACGCCGGCGACGACACGGTTCTCAAGTACGGTGACGTCATGAAGATCGACTTTGGCACGCAAGTCGACGGCCGCATCATCGACTCGGCGTTCACGGTCGCCTTTGACCCGCAGTTTGACCCGCTCCTTGCGGCTGCCAAGGCCGCGACGGAAGAAGGTATCAAGTGCTCGGGCATTGACGCGCGCCTCGGCGAGATCGGCGGTGCCATCGAAGAGGTCATGGAGTCGTACGAGGTGACGATCGAGGGCAAGACGTACCCGGTCAAGTGCATTCGCAACCTCAACGGCCACTCGATCGGCCCGTACCAGATCCATGCGGGCAAATCGGTGCCAATCGTCAAGACGGCCGAAGACACCAAGATGGAGGAAGGCGAGATCTTCGCGATTGAAACCTTTGGCTCGACGGGCCGTGGCTACGTCGTGGAAGACATGGAGTGCTCGCACTACGCCAAGGCGTTTGACGCGCCGCACGTGCCGCTGCGTCTGCCGCGCGCCAAGAAGCTTCTCTCGCACATTACGCGCACGTTCGGGACGCTGCCGTTCTGCCGGCGCTGGATGGAGCGCGAAGACGGCGGGTCGACGCACATCAACCCCAAGGGCGCCAAGCAGGAAAAGTACATGGTCGCGCTCAAGAACCTCGTCGACAATGGCATCATCACGGTACATTGCCACCGTTTTTCCACCAAAAACGGGAAAATCATGTTGCGTAGGCCTACCCGCCGCTCTGCGACGTTGTCGGGAGCTACACGGCGCAGTACGAGCACACCATCATCCTCAAGTACGTCCTCCTGCTGGACACATACTCGTGCTCACGCGACGTGTGTCTAGGCCGACGTGCAAAGAAGTCGTGTCGCGCGGTGATGACTACTAGGGACGTGTTCAGAACCCGTCATTGACTCTTGATAAACCCATCCAACACGCTGTAGACCTGCCAGGACCCTCTAGCGTGGTGGGATTGGTTGGCTCGTGCTAGCTGCATGCCCAGGGCCCCATCTCTGGTTGCAGAAATGGCCTGAAATTCTTAAGAGTTTGGCAGAAGTGATCATAACACCGTCACGAGGACTGGTCGGATTAGGGTCAAGCATGGCGCTATCAAAAGCATTTGATTATTCAATGCGCACGTCAACCGATTCAGCTCCACCACAGCGCTGTCGATGTCACATGCCCCGTGTCCAGCACAACTCTGTACCATCGAGGACCCCAAGGCGACACGTCATCGGTGGCCTCACCCTCTTGCAAGGAGGCTGGGTAAGACTGCAGTGGGCTTACCGCTCTGCTGGTTGCGCGTCAAGAAGAGGACTGGGAGCACCCACACACACGGTCGTTGCTCCATTGGAGATCCATCGTGGCGCTCAAGGGGGTCAACTGCCGTGTTTCAAAACAAGACAATCTTTACCACACAAAATAGGACTATCGCAATTGGTGTTGCAGCGCGGTGACTTGTCGCTCGAGAAGCTGTTTGCTGCGAATCGCCTCGCTGTACTTGAACTTGAGGTCTTCAATCTCTTCAAAAAGTCCAAGTCAAACGCCGAGAGCTCGTCCGAGAGCTTGGCGTTCTCTTCCAAGAGCTGCGCGTTGTGCTGCTCGAGCGACCGCACGATCTCGTCGTTGCCTACAAGGACAATATTGTTCATTATGTTGTCTCGACGGCACCGTACTGGGTTGGCGCGATATGGCCTCGAGACGGCGGTCCTTCTCGTCCAGCGCGTGGCGCAATGCGCTCTCGTCGTCTCGGAGTGTCTTCCACTTGCCGTGGAGCGTTCGATATTTGCGCTGCAGCTCGGCGCTTTCCGCACTGAGTCGCGCTATCTCGTGGCTTTTCTGGTCGAGCTGCGCCTGCAGCGTCGACACAAGCGCGTCAGGTGTCTTGGTCGTCGATGGCTTCGCTGGCTTGAGCCGGCGCAGGCGGTCGTTCTCGGTCCGGAGCTTCTCCATTGCCCGCTTCATGTTTTCAATCACATCTTCAAGGGCGGTGACGTCGGCTCGGCTCTTCTTGGTCGTCGTCGGTGTCTACGCCAAGCGTTCAAGCAACCCACCATGATCCTATGAGAACCTACGCGGGCAGGGGACGGCGTCATGGGCGGCGTCCGATTCGGCGCACGCCGCAGCCGCGCGAGCTCCAAGCTCAAACTCTCGACTTGGAACGAGAGTTCGAGGAGCTGCGTGTCCTTCTCCAAGAGTGCTTTTGCCGCGTCACTCGCGTCCTCGGGCAAATGCAGCGCCTGGCGCGACGTGAGAACTTGCGCTTGAAGTTCGCGAATCCGCTCGTGGCAGCTCTCGAGCTCGCGCTCTTGGTCAAGCGATATCTTGGGCACGGTGTGGGGCAGTGGCGCGGCTCGCAGTTGCATCAACTACGCGGCGCTCAACACAAAATGGCCGGTATCATTACCGTACCTGCTCGGCCTGGGTCGTGAGCTGGCTCTGCGCGCGAGTCCACTGCTCCTTCAAGCGGTGGCATTGGGTCGTGAGGGTATCGACCTCAGCCTTCTTCTCTTCGAGGCGCGTTGTGAGCACTTCGACCCGGCGCTTCATGCGCTTCTCATTCTCCCACTGCTTGCGCGTCGTCTCGTCGCCGCCAGATTCCTGGTTGTTGTTGTTGGTGGTATTGGTTGTTGCTGCCTTCGGGGCGACCGGCGTAGCTTCTCGCAGCGCAGCGTTTTGAGCTTCAAGGACCTTGATCTTCTTTTGCAGCTCGAGAAGCTGGTCGTCTTGCGCCGCGTACGTCCCGAGCTTGGCTTTGCAGCGCTGCAACTCGTCCCGAAGCGTCGCCACCGCTTGTTTCATGTCGTCGGATGGTCGGGCCAGCTGCTTTTGGGCGATCGCTTGGGCGCGCTTGGCCTTGGACGTCATCGTCGCGAGCTCGGAGGTTGTCGCTTGCAGCTTTTCTTGGAGCATCTGCGTCTTGGCCGATAGCTTCGTGTTGGCGTCTTGCAGCGCTGTGACGCGGTCGTCGTCACGCTCCTGCCGCTTGGAGGTCGCGCGAACAATTTCTTCGGCTTGGGCCTCCTGCGCTTTGAGAAACTCTTCCTTGAGCTTGATGATCGCGTCGCGGAGGAGACCCATTTTGCGCTCCTTGCCGCCGATTTCATGCCGGAGATGGGCGAGCTGCGTCGTCTTCTCGCGCTCCATCTCTTCAAAGTCGCTCGAGAGCGCTGCGTGGAGGGCCTTGAGCGCCGCAATCTCCTCGAGCGCTTCGCCGGCGCGGGCTTCGGCCACTTGGCGCTGGTTGTGCAGCGTCTCGACCTTGTGGTGGAGCTCCGAAATGATGTTTTTCTTGAGTTCGAGCTCCATGTGCACTTGCTTGAGCTGCTCGAGGAGCCCTTCGTGCATCTCGCGCGCCGCCACAACCGCACGGCCGCCACCCTAGAACACGATCACTCTAATGGACAAATCTTGTCCAGAACTACCGTCTCCTCGAGGTGCCGGATCTTCTCGGTGGCTTCTTTGAGCTGCGTAATATGCAAATGGTTTTCTTCGTACAACCGGCGGTTCTGGCGCTCGACTTCCTCCTGCACATCGGACGCGCGCTTGTCCATCGTCGCGCGCATGGCCTCGAGCTTGGCTTGGTACTCTTCGATGCGCTGGTTCTTGTCGGCGACAAGCGCCTTCAAGCTTGCAATCGTCGCCTGCGCGGCTTGCTGCAGATCCGCTTGGTCCTTTTCATAGTACCTACACACGACTCTATCGTGATACATTGATAGATTTCGCGCGTACCCGACTTTGGAGCGCATCGACGGCGAGCTCGGCGCAGTCCCCAGCGGCGCGATAGTCGTAGCAGGCTCAATGTGTACGTGCTTTTGCTG